GGGCTATGTTCGCTTAATTGGGAACACTTCCACATGAATCGACTCGGGTTTCCTTGGCCAGCGTTTTGACTCACCTGAAATGAATGTAATCTTGAAGTAGTAGCTGCTTATGGTACAGAAAACTAAAGCAATCAAATTTTTTTCATATTCATTTGGTATCAGGACAAGGACCAATTGAATACTCACACCCAGACAACACCCCCCGGACAATCACCCCATGGAGAATTACCCCCTGAACAATCATCCCCCGGACAATCACCCCCACGGACAATGACTCTGGGACAATTACCCCGGGACAAGACCCCCCGGACAATCATCCCCAGACAATTACTCCCTGAACAATCATCCACGGACAATCACTCCGGACAATCAATCGCGGACAATGACTGGGACAATTACCCTCGGACAATTTCCCCCGGACAATCACCTCACGGACAATTACCCCCGGCAATCACCCCCGAACAATCACCCCAGACAATCACCCCCAGACAATTACGCCCGCACAATCACCCCTAGACAATTACGCCCGCACAATCACCCTACGGACAATGACTCTGGGGACAATAACCCCGGGACAATCACCCCGGGACAATCACCCCGGGACAATCACCCCAGACAATCATTCCCGGACAATTACCCCCGGACAATCACCCCACGGACAATGAATCTGGCGACAATTACCCCGAGGCAATTACCCCCGGACAATCGTCCCCAGAAAATCACTCTGGGACAGTTACCCCGGAAAATACAGCCCATAGTACACGTACTCAATTTATAATAGTGTAACTCACGCTGTGGTGAGTATTAAATCCCACATTTACTATCTTCGTGTGAGAATACAATCTCTATCGCTAGCATGAGATAATCTGGAATCTAAACCAAAAAAAGTATAACGTCATATAGTTCCTACCGATGACCCAGTGATGAATTTCTCCCTTGCAGACGTAACCGATCACTGTAATGATGGATGCATCGTTCATGTACTTCATCGCAACGGCCCCTCGTGAGTAATGAGGAGGGAACTGCTCCGGTTTCAGATGCTCCTGTAAGCGGTCCAGGGACTCTGTAGTCTTAGTTGTTAACTCACTTAATGTCTCAATAACCTTTCTAAGTTCTTCTTTATTATAGGCAAGGTGAACGTCCATTATTTCCCTGGTGATAGTTGGCTTGATGAAGGCAGGAACACCTGTGGTCTTTGGGATCTCCGACATTGCCGCATCACTCCTGTTAGCGCATGCGCGTAGGTCAACAAACTTGAAGGGAATCGGGTCTGGATCAATAAGCTGATGGGTGAAATACTTGTTGAAGCAGTAAAACTCTGACATGAATGATGGACCACAAAGGTAAGGGAACTTTTCCGTGAGAACAGATGCAATAATTGCTGGTACGTCTTCGTAAGTGAAGATACCGACGACTGTATTCATGCGGATGAACTGTTCCAATTGTTCCATTTCAAGAGGTTTAATGTTGTTGTTTTTATCACCAAACACACTGAAAACGTGCACAGAGAACTTGTCGCGATATTTCTCGAGGTATTTAGCGATTGCAGGCCTTGAGAAATCCTCGTCGATCACCAACAATTTATTGTCGTGATTTTTTCTTGCTTGGTTCATGATGTTTGCTGCCAGAAAAAAATATTTATAATGTCAGTAACATTACTGTGTTCTCTGCCTCATATATTATCAGCAAATCGTACTTTTACACGATCCTAGTAATAGATTGTGTATTAGAATGGGCTAAAGATAAAACTACTAAGATGTTGAGACACAATTCCTTAGTTTAATACAGACTCTAATACGATAATGTGGATCTAAAAAGATAGTTTATGCGTAGCTGGCTTTGATCTATATATATATATATA